CAAACTTCTTGATACAGGAACCTGCCAGTATTCTCTCTCTAAGCATGCATGGCTGATGAGACTAGATACAAATGTCATGATCATACATCAGTAATATGAGGGCATAGATTAGATCACTATATCATAAAAATGTTGAAAAGTGCTGTATGTTAAATGTAAACTACATGTGGATCCATTAGTGGCTGCATGTTCAAAGCATCAAAGTTTTAAAACAGTTTTATTTCAAGTCACTGCCTGACAAATCCAAAGCAGAAACTTGTGCCTACTTGCACTTACAGTCCTTGCATATCACAGGCAAATTCTATACCTCCCTACAGAGACAGAAATAATATTTTTGAAGTCAATAAAGAGCAGGCGAGGCAAATCATTACAATATTCATTTCAGACTCTCCTCTAATAGTATTAAGGTTTAGATTCATTTGCACTGGCAGCGAGCTGAACTGGATGATCTGATAGGTCTTTCCCATCTCTTGACTTCCCAGATGCAGCCTATGTTCATTTCAATGCAGCTCTGAAAGCATTCTTCAGTACAGCCGTTTCTTTTCCTCCTCTAACGCTTCTCAAGAGAAATTGCTCCTTCCAGGCGGCCGCCTGAAAATGGTTATGCAGGGGGTGAGGCTGGGTGCGCATGAAAAGCATCCTTTTAACAAGCAAGGGCCTTCCCACTCCATTCTGCGGCTCGGCTCTGCCTGCCCCCAGCAGCCACCACATCCCCGCACCGAGGCAAGTTTGCTGGGGAATCAAGGGGCTGGGAGCCTCTGCCAAGTGCCTGCTCCTTACAAATGATTCTCCAGGAACCCCCCACCTACTGAGCGAGCCCTCCTGCTCGCGGGGATGGCAGGCGAACGTGGCTGGCTCCTGCGCTGAGCAGGGGATTTGTGGAGCGAAGCAGTGGCCCGTGTGCGCCTCCTGTTCCCGGTGTAATTTGCAGCCAATCATCAGTAGGTGTCCACATCCCTGCATCCTCCTCACCTCGGAGCCAATCACCCCCTCCCCTCCTCTTCCCTCCCCTCCCCCAGCAACCACACACCCGCACACACACAAACAGAGAGAGAGAGGGAGAGACTCCCTGGCTCCCTCCCTCCCTCGCACACAGCGACTGGAGACGGACCCAGAGCAGCGCGCAGGGAGAGGAGACCACCGAGCACACAGCCAGGCGCTCTCACACATACACGCACACACACACTCACCCAGTGCCTGCTCTTTCCTCTCCCCCACCCCTTCCTCCTCCTCCTTTCTCTCTGCAACAAGGGGGGGGAAGCCACTTACAGTTATTTGTTGAGTGGATCGGCGTCTTTATTTTTCCCACCGCCCCCCTTCACAGTTTGTTTACAAGTATCAAAGTTGTAATTGAGGAGCTGCCAAGACACATCTGGATATTTCTTCTTCTTTGTGCTAGGGAGTGATGTGCAACTAATTAAAGGCAGGCAGGCTGGGAGCGTCTGCAATTTCGAGCCCCCCAAATAAAGAGACTGGTAAGTGATTATTTGGTTCTCTTGCTCTCCCTTTTTGCTTTTCTTTCTGCTTTTTTTTGTTTGTTTCTTTGGTTGGGGTTTTTTTTTTTAGGGGGGAGAGGCTGGTTTTGTTCCTGTCCTCTAGGATCGTAAAAGTAGATTAATGCGAGACGTGGGGCAATAAAAGGCGCCGCTGTATTAATTTATTAATTAATCTGCACCCCGCCCCTCCTCCTGAATGTTAAATATGACCTTTGATCTCTATGTCTCTGGCAGACCAGACATGCAATATTGAACATGTACAGGCACACTGGCTTAAGCAGGAACCAAATCATGCAGCCTGGATAGCTATTTTCATTATTATTTTTAAATGTGGTCTATAGTTAAGAAAAAATCAATAGCTGCGTCTTAGGTACCCTTTTCATGCTCCAGAGATGCATCGATTAAACAATAATGACCTGGTTGGTGGGCCACCATCATTTTCTCCTTTCTGGTGGCAATAAACCTTGAAGGGGGATAGGAGGTGGGGGACTGGAGAGGCAGCAAGCAAAGAAAGATTTTATGCAGAAAAGCCACTTTAGTACTGTGAAAATAAACCACAAAATGCTTGCATTGTTTAAGATTTTGAATAAAAAAGCTAAACTATTAATACATTTCCCTTACCAGTTGTCTGAATTTTCTACACATGGTTGGCCAAACTAGTTTTATCGAGTAGTTATTATGGACATGAGGTTACAGTTTCATTTATAGAAACTAGAGGTTTTTGCTATGTGTAAATTTTTAGCCTCTCTCTTCCAAGTCTGTGGTTAGCCTGGAGCTTTTTGGGGGCACCCTTTTTTGCCATCAGACCCCTGAAGGGAGCAATAGTCTCAGGTTTTTCCTTACGTGAAAATAGAGGTGGTTCATGTGTGATTAGGGTCTGTGATTGAAAGATGCATACTAGTTCCTAATCCAAAGAAGGGTGAGGTTTCTTATCTAGATTTATTCTACCATAATCTGGATTTGTTTACATAAACCCTGTTTTTTAGAATATAACATCAGTTAATGATGAAGTTTTTGCACTTGGTAGGTTGGGCTATGAATGGTTCATTAATCTAATTATGGTCCTAATTACTATAATTGATAATCATTTGAACTATACATATTTTAGCCTGAAACAGTACTGGGCCCCATTTGGTGTCCCTGAAGTAAATAAAATGCTAATATTAATTAAATCCCTTGGTGAAGAATCTAGAAAACAGAGTCTGATCATAGAATTATGTTTGAGTTATGTGTTGCTTTACTTTCTAAATACTGAAATAGTGGTTCTTTTCCCATGGTCCACACTAAAGTACCCCTTTCCATGAGATATAAAGAATGGCCCATGAAAAATAAAAGGCCCAAAAATCCTTATTCCTGCATTCAACTTTTCTAAAAATATTAATAATAAACCTGTCAAACCCACTAATGTTTACTTCAGCAGGTAACCATGTATCTGATGGAGTGGGGGGTTAAAAAAATGAACCAATGTATATTTCTGTAATGCCTGCAGGAGGTGCTTCTTTTTAAATTAGTTTTGGGCAGCCCCCATGGCGTGGGGATGTAAAAGAGCCTCCAGAAGAATTGGGGATGTTCAATCCTTAGTAGAACTGCAGGCTCCAGGTCAAAAACTGTGAAATGCCTGGCTTACATATTTTTATCTCCTCTACTTGTTCATTTTTTAAACAAGCAGAACACCACCCCCCCTCTATCCCACAAGCACCACCACCACCAAATGGTTTGTGCAATTGAGACCTGTCCTTGGTACATTGAATTAAGACCCTAACACAACCAGCTGTGCTGGGATTCAAACTAATGACCGTCAGCCACAGAAGGACACAGTGGCAGCTGGCCTGCCTCTTTTTTTCAGCTTGTATGTGGGCAGGCTCTTCGTACCCTGTTTGCGTACAGTTGATTCTCTAAAGCACTGTGGACTTTCTCAGCACTTCATGTGCTAATTTCCCCTTCGTTTGCTTTGCGTTCTGCTTTACTTCGCATCTGCATGCTGTGGCCACCCAGATCCCCCCGTTTCATAATACTCAACTGCCCTCTGGTTATAGGGATTACCGCCTTTCCACCCCTTTGCACGTCTTTAGCACCCCCACCTGCCCCCTTCCCCTTGGCATTTGTGTCAGCGCCCCTGTGCCTCCCCCGGGGTTGCCCATCGCCCAGCTCCTGAGGCATTCACGCAGGGGGAGGAGGGAGGCGAGAGCGGCGGCGGCGGGCTGGTGGCGTGCTTGGTGCGGGTGCAAAGGCGCTGCGGCGCGTGGCGGCGCGTTTCGGGGGCCTTGCTGACACCTTTGTGGACATGACTTTCTTTATTTTAGTTGCCACCGTTCCTGTGAGAATGCAAACGAAGAGGCTGCCTGACAGTTTGCCGTCTGCAGAAATGTCCCCCAAAGAGGATCAATCTTCTCCCCTCCCCCCTTCCATCCCTCCCCCTTCGGTGCAAAGGCGCTGCGGCGCGTGGCGGCGCGTTTCGGGGGCCTTGCTGACACCTTTGTGGACATGACTTTCTTTATTTTAGTTGCCACCGTTCCTGTGAGAATGCAAACGAAGAGGCTGCCTGACAGTTTGCCGTCTGCAGAAATGTCCCCCAAAGAGGATCAATCTTCTCCCCTCCCCCCTTCCATCCCTCCCCCTTCACCCACC